CGAGGATTTGTTAGATTCAAATTATAGTATATTTATGAAATAAAAAAGCATGTTGCGATAATGTCTCTTTTGATTTGAATTTTATTCTTTTTTCAACTTTTTTTTTATTCTGTTTTACGGACATGACAACGCACATATTTGTAAACTGCCAGTTACATTTACTTTTTATATAGAATTATACATAGTTTATAAGTCGTTTACTAGAGAAGGGAGGGCACAGCAAGATGTATTTCGATACATCTTGCTCGACTTGGGGCGGCCTGAACTGGCGTAGTACCTCCACCAAGCGGAAAACCAAACAGTGCTGTACTTGCACTACACAACAGCACTGTGTTCCTGTGGTGAGTAAGGTGACCAGAGCCCCATGGGGATGGGTTGTGCTGGTATTGGTGGACCTGTGTGTCCAACAGTGCCTAGGGATTGCATAGGCGAGACGTGGTGGCGCGGCGTTCAGGGAGACCCGGTGAAACGGCTAACCGCTGGCCGCCCGCAAGTTGTTGGGTTCCCGAACCCAGGGATTACATAATCTCCGCCCTGGGAGGCTGAACCGCCGCCTGTGCATAATCCCTGGTGTAGTAGTCGTGCCGGAGGAGGAGACGGGAGTGGACCCGGCTGGTACACCAGGGGGGGTGACCGGGGGCCCTTCCGGCCGCCGTGCCACCAAGTCGCCCAACCTGTGCAATGCTGGGGTGCGTTGATGCATCTTTTGTCCTTTCTGATACCGGCGCAACCATTCCCCTTTAACCTTAAAAAAAACTGCCTAACTACCATGACCAGAAGCAAAAAAAGGAAATTTAGTACTTCAGCGGCACCCCAATCCACATTAGATATGGATTTCTGTAATATCAGGGGACTTCACGGAAACATCAATGCGGTCCACTATCACCTCGAGATCGCCAAGCCGACCCTTTTATTCCTTACGGAGACGCAGATATCCTCTCCGGCTGACACTCTACCTGCTGTACCCTGGGTATAAACTCGAGCACAAATTTGTGCGTCGTGCCGGGGTTTGTTTGTATGTCCGGGAAGATATCTGCTGTCGCCGCCTTCTTGGTCTAGAAGAAAAAGACCTGTCAATCCTATGGGTTCGCATTGATCAGGGTGACTACACCGGCATCTATGCGTGCCTATACAGGTCTCATAGCGGTGATGAGGATACGACTCGTCTGTTTGAGCACCTTCAATTGACGTCTGATAAAGTTCTTGAGCAGTATCCCTCCGCAAGTCTAGTGATACTTGGAGACTTCAATGCCCATCACATCGAGTGGCTCCGTTCTCAGCTCACCGACCACGCGGGGAGAACTGCTCACGAGTTTGCTCTGGCCTATGGATTCTCGCAACTGGTTCATTCTCCAACGAGAATACCTGATATCGAGACCCATACGAGCTCCTTACTGGACCTTCTGCTGACTACACGACCGGACGGATATTCAGTGACCTTATCAGGGTTGGACCACGTAGTATAAAAAAAAAAAACTAACATGATATGGATCATGAGTGTCCGAAAAAAACAGTACGTGTTTGACCACGAGTATGGTACCACGAGGACTTCCAACTGCTATTTTATTTATTCTAGTGTCCGTGATGCTGTTCCTGTTTGCCTAATACACGTATATGTAAACGTCCATGTACGTTTAATATCTATGAAACCAATAACACGGTGGTAGAAGGAAATGGATAAGAAACTGTTCGTCTGTGTTTTCCGCGGACAACTTTTATCCATTGGAAGCGAGCCAGTTTGGGATTGGTACTCAACTTATCGTACAAGTTTAGTGCACTCGGTGTACTATTTGAAACTTCGTTTAATAACGAACTTTTAAAAATAATAATAATAACGTACGTTATAACCTAATACAAATATTTTACATTCACGATTAATATTCCAGATAAGATAATCATAGGCATTGTAAACTTTCAATGACATTATGAACGTAACACTTGACATGCAAGGGGAAGAGAATTGTTATAGTAGTAATGTGGACTATTAACCCCATTGCTAGCAATGTCAGGTTAGCCTCCACCTGGTTCCCTCTGGAAACCATGGCGATCAATTCATGGTGTATTGGCTAACTAACCTGACCTCATCCTATCATCCTCCACTGGTGTCCACTTAGCGCAGGCAGGTGCACCATTCCATTATCATCCGTAAGAAAAACACTTGACATGCCCACATTTCATTCTATTTTACCCTATTTCATAATTTGTCGATTTTATTGATATCGACCAGAATTGAACTCGGTTTAAGTCGATTGTGTAGGTTACGACGTTCTGAAGTTAAAGGTGCAAACATATAGAACGAATGTTGTTAATTCAATACAAATAAAGAGCTTCAACTGTATTTCTCAGCACTAAAAGAAAAGTATTAACTTTTACACATTTTTTTAATTTATGTTATTTTTTCTTGTAACTTCATGTTAATGGCACTGGCGCAAATCCAATATGAAAACGACGCCTACAGAATATTACGAAAATCATTTTACGATATTTTAAGATAAAATATAAAAAATATTATTGTAGTAAAATAATGTAATATGTATATAACATTATTAATATTATATCATCATCTGCATTTTCCTGGGGTCGGCGTGTCGTGTCATTCGTCTCCGTTCGCAGTCATCTCGTTATTTACTCCCTTTCTTACCATATCTTTCACACAGTCCATCCATCTCTTTTTCGGTCTTCCTCTGCCCTTATAACCATCCACATTCATATATAACACCTTCCTTAGGATATGGTCTTCATTCCTACGCATTACATGCCCATCATACATCATACATACCATAATAAAGTTGTGCTTTGTCACAGTAATTAAACATGTTAGCATAATTATTTCTAGTTGTCTAATAGGTTATTCTATACACTTCCAAATTTTCTATCACCTGGGCCATTTTAGTCTTTTCCTGTTTAACTGAACTGTAAGTTTCACGAAATTGCCATCATATCCAAAGTATAGATGGAGTATGACCAAAGTATTATTTATAATTATATATAAATATTCGGTGCAAGCAGAATGAGCAGATACAGTTTTAGTTATGTCACAATGAACGTGTGTTCTTAGCGCGGTCCTAAAATTCTCCTTACGATCTTATGGTAAATTAAGATCTTCCTTCTCTTGACGCTTCGTTTAAATTGCACTAGCCATGGTCACGAGCTAACTAGAGTAGGTAAGTGCCAGCAGTTTTTTCTTCTACCGTCTCTGTATTGTCCACTGAAAGATCACAATATCAGTACACTCAATGATTGTTAATGCTACTGAACTTTGTTTGAATTTATTTATGGTAGGATCCCACACAGCTAATAATTTTAAGCCATCCTCTCTGTTGAAATTGGGATATTTTTTTTAATTTTAAGGAAATATTTTTTTGAAACAAATGAACGACTTTTTACATCTTGGAAGTGGCGTATATACTCGTACTTTAAATTCTTTTTAAAAATACGGACGTCGCGTCGCCTGGCTGTGCGCTCTCATCTTATCAAAATTTGTCAAATTTATACTCCTCGTGTTTCAGTCATTGTATATTCGTATGTATATAATTATTCTTTTGAAAAAGTATATAAGACAACAAATAAACGTCTATCGCACACTTTATCTGGTTTTATTGCACTTATTACGTAGTGTGGCTTCTCTACCGTATATACATATAAACAATATAAGATTCATAGTAATAGGAATCAGTGATGTCATATCGACCTCCACATAGTTCCCCTTTTAATCCATCGTGGTTAATTCCTGATAAATTCGCTACAATGGGCCCAGACCTGACTTCATACTCTTCCCATTATCCTCCACTGTTGCATCACTAGGGTATACCGCACTAGAGGTGCACTCTATCATATTTATACATACATATTTACACATTATATACATATTATACACACAGTAAGTAGGCCTTTATTTACTCTTATGATACCTACCAAAGACAGTGTGCCAATAGCTGTTTTTAAAGACCAATTTACACAAAACAACATATTTGTATCTATGAAGTATATTTTTGTATAAAACAAATTACATTATATAGACGAAATTTCATAATTATCGTAATGTATACATATAATATTCTGGTCTGTATTGTATCTAGATAACATGGTAGCAGTTTATATCTAAAGTATATAGCGATAAGGAACAGATTCAGTTATTCATTACTAAGATTTTATGGAAATGAACACGACAATAACATAACTATAACCAAAATGTACTAATGAACGTTATAACAACAAAGCCACGACGATACGAATGCTAACCGCAAGCAAACATAATAGCTGGAATAAATAGACAGAATTGGCGGAATCTCTTAGAGCTTCGCTCGACTGTGACTTTTCGAAACGACTGAGACAAATTTTGAGCTTTATTCTTGGAGACAAACTTATTGTGTGGTGTCAAAGAGCAAAATAATCGCGGTGTGAATAATGAAAAGACAATTTGCGTGGAGTATGCGAGTCCTGAACGCGAGTTCAATGGACGGCAGGGTGCGTGCGAAACGATAACCAGAGCTCGAATAAACTACCATCCCCAGTATATTTTAAGACCATTTGTTTTCTTACTGTTACTTTCGTCGGATGACTCGTGTACCATTGCCAATATTGAAATAGTGATAATTATATAAAGTTAATAACGTATTAGACTAATTATACTTGATGAATATCGTGTCTTTATCTTACCTATGAATATAGTAACTTTTAACTGTATTTTCTTATTTAAAAAAACTTAGACTAAACAGTTTATTCATAACTCCCATAAAGAGTTGTTACCAGTAAAGGAGGAGGAAAAGATTATTAGCAATGGATCTCAGAAATGCCTTAGTCTCTCTGCACTTAATTGGTAAAGTACCTTCCAGCTGATATGCATTAACTTGCCTTTATTATTTTATATTTAACATTTGGTAACGTTGGCATGAATATATCATCTAAATGGATGGCTTGGAATAGCAGGGTGTTGGCGCGCATGCGTCATAAGGCTTCTGCGCCTCTGCCCCGCATCCGGCAGCTTGTCGACGGTAGCCGCACGGGCGGTCGTCGGTCACTCCAACGGCCTACATTCACATCTGACACGATTACAATTCGAATACAAATCGATACCCAACTGATCGACTGAACGAGATCGAATCGTGTCACGTGCCAAAAATACCCAGTGCTCAATAAATAAAAAGAAAATAACAATAATCGACGATCACTTAACAAATACATACTGCCGTGTTAATTACAACGAATGATAGTAAAATAATGTTTCACAGTGATTTCTGGTCGTGAATTATGTTTTTGTATGGATTCAAAACTATAAAGTAGTGAGTGTATTTAATATCGTGGTGTTTGTTTTTCGATGATAATAACGCAGGTATGTTTCTGAATACTACGTAATCCATTATTTAGTTAGAATGCATTTATTTCAAATGTGATTATTATGATACAAAATATTACCGTTAAGAACATCGGTCATGATAATTATTAAGCCTTCTATTACAATGTAAGTAATGTTGTTTTTATTTTACATGTAAGTGTGTATACAAATAAATATTTCTTACATTGTAAATTTATTTTCATGAATCCTAAGTAATGTTTGATCTTATTTGTTTCCTCTGTTTTCATATTTTACCTACGTAACCAATCGTCATGAAATTTAGCACATTATTATATATGTTTACCTTTTTCGTACACTATGTATGATATGATATAGTATACTATTTATAATCACAGTCACTTATGATTACATAGATGAAGTCGCAGGCATATACTATTACCCAGACACTTAACACACACCAAACAGTAGTAATAAATACATGGTAAGACATAAAAAAAGTCTAAAATAAAAGAGAAAATATAGAAATGTAGTCTACAGCTTTGCTACAAAAAGAAGAAGCGATGACTAATAGTGGAATAATCCTAACTAATCCTCTTTTAGAACCTAAAATAATTTTGTAATAGCTACCATCTGGCACCATTTATTGTTAGGTATCATTACAGTTTAACAACATTCCAATACATATAGATACAGGACTACTCTAATCACGCCGATCAGGTGGTTTAAATTACCTATTAGTATTATCTACCTAGCTTTAATTAGACCTAGTTAGCTTTTATAGGTACTTCTATTTAAAGGTATTCTGAAAATGAAGAAGAGATGAATTAACTAATTAAGTAACTCAGTCATCACATAGCGTATGTATATATATATATATATATATATATATATATATATAGACATGTCCGCGTAAAATAGTGACCTTGAGTAAATAATAAAAAATATATATTAATAATCTAACCCAATAAAAAAGTTTCATCGTTCTAGCTTCAAAAATGAAATTTCCATACATAATTCCATACAATTCAATCAACAGCCAAAAACTAAGTTTCAAACTACTATCTTTAAAATGAAGATACTTACATACATACCATACATACATTACATCTCCCCTTTCAACCCCTTATAACCCTTTTTCTTGTTTTTTTTAATGCTACTTATATTAGTGTCATCATGTACCAATGATAAGATGTCGCTATACTGTAACCATTTATGGCTGAGTCCTGTGGCGGTAGGTACTGATATTTTCTCAACAGCCTAAAAAATGGGTTTCAAGTTTCTAGCTTTAAAAAATGACAATACATGCATACGACATTTTAACTCCCCTTTTGACCCTTACAACCCATTTTCGTTAATTATATTTAATCAATACGCAAAAAAATAAGATTGAAGCTTAAACTTTTAAAAAATTCCTCTTTCAGTCTCTTATAACAGCATTAAAAAGTAACCTATGTATCTCAAGATCTAGACTTTAAATTTCATTTAAATCAGTTCAGAAGTTTTGGCTTTTAAGACAGACAGACAGAGTCACTTTCACTTTCATAATATTAGTAAGGTATTTATTAAATAAACTGACCCAAAAAAGCGTAAGAAAAAAGCTTAATCGTTCTAGCTTCAAATATGACGAATTTCCATAAAAACTTTTATCTGCTATTTTATTTTACCCCTTGAATGGTGACAATGTGATATTTACAAATTTAAATGTCATATTTATTTATATTTAATAAACAGTTTAAACATTTCTTTAAATTCTTTTGAAAATTGGTGGTCCAGTTGGCCAATAACATAATAAAATTTTGTTAAATCAAAATAATAGATGTGATATTCTAAATTGCAAACTATCCCTCTACTTGCGCGAACCATATCTCTGATTCTACTGGCCAGAATGGAGAAACGCGTATTCCGAACCTGAATAGCTCGGATGGAACGGTAGATGTTGTTTCTTCCAAGGAAATGTTGTTCATATGTATTGACAACATTTTTAATATTATATGTTGTTTTATTCTTCAAAAATATTAATAATATGTTCTTACGCTCTTGTCCAAGAGCAGGGTCATCAGTTATAGGCTATACCAGGATTATATTTATGTATTTATAAAATAAAATTGCAGAGCAAACGTTTATTCATTTAAATTCATAAGGAGACAACGGATTGACAATAATCAGTTGCGCGTGCAACTGCTTATACAAATGACATATATGTTTATTTATGACATATGAGCGTTAATAAGTCGCATATCTAGTACAATACTGGTGTAATTCAGAAATTAAAAATTTTTGAAAATAGACTTAATAACACAATTATAAAGTAGACTTTCCAAAATATCTAATTTTTTAGTTAAGCCATTATTATAATAAGTGTGTATTCAACCGCATAAAGATAACCTTGCATTACCATTTTCAACCCCTTACAACCCTTTTTTCGCATTAAAAAGTAGCCTATGTCCTTCCTCGGCGTCTAGACTATATGGGTACCAAATTTCATTTAAATCAGTTCAGTAGTTTTGGCGTGAAAGCGAGACAGACAGACATACAGACAGACAGACAGACAGAGTTACTTTCGCATTTATAATATTAAGTAAGGATAAGGATATACAGTGGGTTGCCAAATTAATAGGGACAGTCACATTTTTTATAATTTTTGTTCTTCAAGTGGTCTTGACTACATTTTTAAGTGGTAAAAGTTTTTTGCTGATATGTTTTTATGTTCACCTTGTCTCTATAACTCAAATTCAAAGTGAATTTCAAGTGAGAGATTTTGAAATATATTTTAATGACGGGAGAGACACACAGTCGTTCACACGTGTAAAAGTGAAACACGTAAATTATTCTTTTAAAAAGTTCTTTAGTGGTTTTGTGAAATAATCAATAACTGCAATTAAGTAATATTTTACTATAATTAAAATTAAAATATTTTGGAGCGGATTTTAGAACAATTTTAATTTATTTTTATATTTTCAGCTTTGGCTATGGGTCGAGAGGTAGATTTGACTCGGGTTAAAACCCTTCTCCTACACACAAATCACTCTCAGAGGATGATAGCACAACTGGCCGTATCGAAATCTGCCGTCAATAAAATAAAAATAAATTTAGATCAAAATCAGCCACTTTCGCCCAAAAGAAAAGGCAAATGTGGCAGAAAACGTATCACAACAACACGTTCCGATAGGAAAATTCGAGATATCTGCTTGCAAAACAGAAAGAAAAGTGCTGGATTTTTAACTCAGATAGTACAGGAATCTGGAATACGTGTTTCAAAAAGAACTGTACAGCGAAGGTTGGCAGAGGAAGGCCTGACAGGTCATCGTCCAGTTAAGAAACCCCGATTAACAGAGGCGATGAAAAAGAAAAGGCAGGGCTCGTGAGCACCGCCTGAAAACTGTTGAAGACTGGAATAAGGTCAGTTCTATGGTTAATTTTATTTGTGTTATATAAAATCATATTTACAAAAATTATAAATAGTTTCTATATTTTTTTAGGTATGTTTCTCAGACGAGTCAACTTTTGAAATTCTGGCCAACAAAAGTAACTTCGTGAGGCGGCGCCCAGGCGAGAAATTTCATCCTGATTGCATAGTGGAACGAATTAAACACCCTGTAAAAATAATGGTATGGTCTGTCATCAGCGCAAAAGGAGTTGGGCGCCTCTATATCGTCCAGGGAACCATGAGACAGGACCAATACAAGCAAGTATTAGAAACTCGCCTGTTGCCGCAACTTCAGGAATGGTTCCCGAATGGGGAGAAATTCGTGTTTTCAGCTCCATGTCATAAAGCGAGGAGTGTAACCAAATTTTTGGAAGACCACAACATTCCAGTTTTACCTTGCCAATTCTCCTGATATGAATCCCATAGAAAACTTGTGGGAAATTACCAAGGCGGAAATTGCTAAGAAATCATAACTACCAAAGTAAAACTAATTGAAAAATTAATAAATGTATGGTTTCACAATCCCAAAATAAAAGAAAGTGCTAAACAGTGTATTGAAAGTATGCCGAGGCGGATTCAAGCACTAATAGAAGCAAAAGGAAATGTGACAAAATACTAATAATTTCCCATCATCATTTTTATTATACTTGTTTATATTTTCTAGTTGTTCAAATATTAAATTATTATAGTCTAAATTCATTATAAGATATGTGACTGATATATATATATATATATATATATTATAGACCAATGTTTATATATATATATATATATTTAATGATCTTCTTCAGATTTTGTGTATCTGTATATTAAACAAGGTCCCTGATATTTACTAAATTTAAATTAAAGGTTGAAAAATAATGAAACGTAGATAATTAAGATACATAAACAGATACATACGATTAGATATAGCTTAATTTAAAAATTATTTATTGTTATTCTTCAACTAAATGCTTAGAATTAATTCATATATCTGCGATAGAAAATGAATAAAAACAAAATTATAGATGACTTTCATTACTCAGCGTGACATCATTGAACTTGTACCGTAATAATGGCTTCCCATTAAACAAGACGTAAGCTCCATTGTCACACCAGTTGTATAAAGGTAAAATTAAAATTCTAAATAAAATTTCATCTTCATAAATCCTACTCCATCTGCCCTTTTTTCTAAGTTTGTTTAGTATGAAGCAGCTTGGACGTGTCTTATTAATTCATTTAGCCTAATTTAATTAAAGTTGTCCTTAATATATGTAACTACCGGATTTGTAATTTTCTGCTAGATGCTTTAATTATACAGCGACATGCTACGGATGTATTTATATTAATATTACTTTCTTATATACACGAGTACAATGCATGTCTTATGCAATGTGAAACATAATAACACTTTGAATAGGACAAGCAAGTGAAAATTAACAAAGTTAAGCAATATATTAAACTTTGATGAAACACACAATCGAAAATACAAAATACATTATAAAAAAAATAGTATAAATAAATAAAAACTATTCCCCAAGTATGATATTACCTCTTAAGTTAGTATAACTTAATTTAAATATGTGTACATTTCTTCCCCCAGCTTAGAATTTATAATTTAAGTTAGTTTTAGAAGCCCGCCCCAAGAGGCTGTCAACCCTAACTGGGTTGACAGCCTCTTGGAGCGGGCTTCTGGGATTGTCGGGGCAAAGGGGCTCGCCCCAACCTTCGCCTCCCTAGCAAAAGACCAGTTTCTATCACGGGTCACATGATAACATCATGTCAGTGGAGCTGTTCATGAATATAGGTGACAGTTACTACTTACCACCAATTGAGCCATCAGTTTGTTCACTATTACTACTACAAAGTAGATATGAATGCTGTTGTTCAAATCATTTTGGCAATATTAGTTTCTTGAAAACTTCTACCATCGACACGAGGTTGTACTGTCAACCCGGTATAGAACCAACTTTTTATTGCTAGTTCTCAATCAGTTCTGAAGTTATTTTTAATCTAACAGTAGATTGGATTTATCAGAATATATGTACAAGAATAAAGTATTTTGATTTGATTTGAGATCGTAGCGACTACTTCGGCTAGCCATTTAAAAGCCAATTTGTCTGAATTCAACAGATTGTCTCAACTGAACGGGTATAAAATCGTACATAGCTATAATTTTTTAATATTAATTAAATAAAAAAATAATGTGTTACCTACTTGATATGACAAATTTGTTAATCAGTGCGTAAAACTATTATAGTATAAAAATACATGTTTATTTGATTTAAGTACTTTAATAAACGTACGACTATAAAAAATTTTTGTTGAGTCATATTTGTACATTGTACGTTTGATAAGCATAAAAGATTAATCTATATAATAATATCTAGTAGTTAGTATTATATTACCAAACGAGTTCGTATGTCGTAGAAGTATCTCTCTGGTTTCAAAGAAGGCGAAAGGGCATCTTTCCTCTTGTACAAAAATAACATCTTCATAGTTTTTTATTACCGTGTAATATTTTTACTAAATATTATATTATCTATGGATGTACAATTTTTGCTGTTAGATGGTATTTATGTGATGAATGCTACATTATCTTTAGAAAAAAAATTGTGATAATAGGTTTTACGTGCATATTATTAAATACCAATCGATGAACATTGAGTATTGGTGAGGTAAAAAAAATATATATAATAATATCACCGCTTCTGTTCATATCTCAACAACCAACTAAGATAAACAATGTACAACACAATTGTATAAAAAAGAACTATTGTACATTAAAATTCTATACCAAGCCACTTGCCCAACATATTCTTCTCTTTAAAAATAGGTACTTACGCCCTGTGTATATTTTATTACATAAACAAAAACTAATAAAAAAGAAAATATGTGATTAATTTATGTACCTATTAAGATATTTCACTTTTTATCCATTGCCTTCAATTATAATCGAGGTATATATGCATAGCATCAGATAATAAGATAGCCCTTATACTAAATAAGGTTACTTGGTAAATCGGGATCAAAGAGAACCCAACAAATCAAATACTGGACTTATCGTCATTTAAGTAATCGGTGCCGACCCTTACCTTTAAATGAGATACATGAATTCCATTTACAAAATAAGTAATACACTGATCACATTACTGATACCTAACTTATAGCGTCATGTCCACCACTTGAAACAGAATATTTTTTGTATGAAAGTGGCATTTTATAATTCTTAAACGCAGCGCTCTAAAAACATTGTGTTTATTTTCTCTAAAAACATTGTGTTATATAAAAGGTTTCTCCGTTAAATTAGTTTTCACAATTATTTTAATTCTTTTCATAATTCGTTTAGCTGTGTTGCTATATTGGTTAAAGTGTTTTGTTCTCAAGATATTCTTTAATAATAATGTATAAGTAACATAGTAAACGCTGAATTTGAATATTTGCATGTTATAACATTTATACATATTGACATAAAAATTGTAGTAGTTATTAAAATGACGTACACTTTCAATACGAGATAAAAGAAAAAAAAAAGCAGCTTTGTAACGCGAGACAAACCCTGCGACAATTAAACATGTCCAAAATGTACCGTTACAAATAATCTATCTCAGACATTCGAAATTCAAATTTATATTTTTTCCATGATTGAATTTATAATTAAATAATTTACACTAGGTACATTTCGTTCGATTTTTAAATTATACGGGAGAAGCAAAGAGATACTACTGAAAATTTAAGAAAACTTTTTGATATATTTATATTATACATTTTGTTTGAATATATATTATAAACACAATGTATATTAAAGATCTTAACACTTAACAAATTATTCAATAGAGATTTCTAATTTGTTAGTTTATCCATGTGGACTTATACTGAAATTATAAAATATCAAATGCCAACATATATTCACGAAAAAAATATTAGTTATAAAATGAAACAAAGTAAATTTAATATTCTAATGAAATTTATTTTGTGTTCGTGCTTGGTTTAAACTAATATTTCTAGTCTCAAATACACTGTTTGATATTTTTTTTTACATATTACTAATAAATTGTTAGTGTCACAATGTTCATAATGTGTTTGCATATTATTTACACGTGACCCTATCTAAATACACAATAATAGCTCCGAAACTGCACTGTAAGTGTTACAAGTTACGATATTGCAAAAGTTTTTTCATTGTTCCAGGATGAGAGGAACGAAAGCAATATTTCTCATTTTATTTTTCGGTCACCTATCAGCTCTTCCAGACACCATTCGAATCGGTAAGTGTATACTAACACCTATGTACTAATATTATTAATGTCCTACTCATCTTAAGATTTTTTAAAAATAATTGCATTTTTTCAATGATGACAAACAAACAATCATGTCAATAGTGAAAATGCCTTTAAAATTTATAAAATGTACATGCACCAAAATAACATTTTTTACAATTTTTGTCTGTCTGTCTGTCAGTCTGTTTGTTCCGGCTAATCTCTGAAATGGTTGGACCGATTTTGACGGAAATTTTATTGGCAGGTAGCTTATGTAGTAAAGAGTAACTTAAACTACTTTATTATAGTATATATAGCAGCTTTACTATAGCAGCTAGTATGTAAATAAAATAGAGCATGTTTGCATTTTCGATTTTATATTTATTTCTGCAAACAAAGAACAATAACTTGTGTAGTCAATGAAGGAAGTAATATAATATAAAAGGAATTATTCTCGTCTCTACAATTTTAATGACAGGGTTTTGTTGTTAGAGTTCCTTGACAAAGTTGAATAACAAAAGGTCTGTTCGTTTGTTCAAAATCCTTCATTGTACATCACATAAAGAGAAATTAAATACACACTCGTAGGGACAGAGGCGGACTTATCCCAATTAAAGATGTCTTCCTACCTTGTAAGTTAGTAAAGTAGTCTGTTAGTCTTTCTTTTTATTTAGAATTTGTTTTAATTAAGAAAAGATGGTATCAAATAATAGAAATAGAGATTATGTGACAGTTTCTAACAAACTAGGTACAGTTAAAAAGTGCTTAAGAGAGTACCTAATAAAATGTCAAAGAAATTATTTCGAATAATGACTGACTTCTGAAAGTTCTTTATAAGATTTTCTTTATTTATGTTCTTCACTTGTATGAAAAATTAGTATAATAATTTTGTGACCAATCAACTAGATAATAATCTTTAAGAGGTTTAGATTTCAAAATAACTCAATTTCGATGTGATTGAAGTATACTGACAAACAATTATGAAATATATAACTTCTTCATAATTAACCGACTACACTATAATAGTAATCTGAAAGGAGCATAGTACTGATACATACTGATTTTACAATATTGAAAGTAATAGTGACAGATGCCTAGTGTTGTCACCTTAGGGTTTTAATTTGTCGATCTATCTTTATAAGTGGTAACGTTCTTCCCAACCAGACTTTCAGCAGGAAGCCCGGTATGATTAATGCCTTCTAATGGAATCAGCTTTTAACAGCTTGCCTATTAATGGTGTGTTTTGTTTTCAAATCAACAACTCTGCAGCTTCTTGTCCGATAAGAGTTAATAATACAAACTAATTCGCGACTAATAGCTACAATGATATACATGCTCTATTGTGATAAGATTAATATTCGTATCAGGTGGATTATTCCATCCCGAGGATGATAAGCAAGAAGTCGCTTTTCGATATGCAGTGGAGCGAGTGAATGCAGATAGAGCGGTACTGCCCAGAGCCAAGTTACTTGCGCAAGTTGAGACAATATCGCCTCAAGACAGTTTTCACGCATCCAAACGAGGTATATATTATAAATACATATTATTAACAACTGGCAAATATTTATAATTAACAGGCATTTATAAAGGCGTTATAACATTTTATAGCATCCTCAAAACGTAATATGCACATGTCTTTGAAGTACTTCTGATGGTTCCAATGGTACTTCTGACAGACCAATACAATCAGTCGTACTCACTAAGAGTATGATTGATTACCAATACAATAAGTATTAGTTTATATGTTTCCCACATATGTTGAATGTGTATTTACAAAAATAGGGAATTGTAAAATTCTTATCAGTTGTTTAGTATATATAGAACAAACGTTGTTATAAAAACTGGACTGGCTTTAGGTTCTCTGTTCTAATATGATGATAACTCTTGTAATAGATACACATAATAATAATAATCACCAATGCTTTAGACAGAGCACAAACAATGCAGAGTTTATATCATACTCGTAGGTACTAAACCACTGATGACTTATACATTTTTATTGTAAAGTCATACATAGTGTAAATAAAAAACATGCAGAACAATACAATAAAGCATACTCAAGAATACAAATCATGCAAAGAATCGAACACACGACCATAGGAAGTAAGGCGATGTGCTAAACCGGTTGGCCACCAAGATCGTTAAATATAATTTCAATAATATATCAAAAGTCACTTATTACCCAGCCTGGAAATCTTACAATTCCAATTTAAAATTGGAATTGTTTTGCGTAGTATGTCACCTTTTGCGGAGCGGCGTAGCAGCGATATTCGGACCACAGTCGGCCCCTGCAGCAGCCCACGTGCAGTCTATATGTGACACAATGGAATTACCTCACTTAGAGACCAGATGGGAGTACCGCACGCGACGGGAATCCTGCCTTGTCAACCTATATCCCCATCCAGCCGCTTTAAGTCGAGTAAGTGACGTGACGCCTGCCGGTATTGAATTAGTAAATAATGTTTGGAAATTTTGTGAAGAACGTTACATATAATATTGTTATTAAATTTAAAGATATTTAAGTAAATGTATTTTATTGGTAATATTAAAAATTATATAATTTTACATATTATTTAGATACATTAAATTATATCAATTTACACAAAAACATTTTGTCCAGCAGTGGGACCACATAGGTTAATAACAATAAATATATATATGATAATAGATATGGAATGAAATGGATTTCATTTTCATTCCATATTTTCATACTAATATCTGAAAATCTATCTTTTCACTATTAAACGGTGGTACATATGTAAATAGAATTTGAGGTGAAGATACATAATTTACCTCAAAATTAAACCGGAAAGGACAGGAATACGTGATGAAATTTTGCGTAATCGAAATTGTGAGTTGTTATAAACGTTAGTTATTATATAACTAATTTTGTAATAGGAATATCTTAAGGATATTAGCTAAGTTACTTCGCTGCTTCGCTTTACAAACCAAATCACTTACACGAGCCAGTGTGCGTTTTTTTTTAATTATTCATTTAACATACATATACAAAATTATTTCATGTTTGTATTTTGTCTTTTAACTATTTGATTACAAAATATTCAGTATTTATTTACAATGTTAAATATTATTTAAAAAATATATATATTTTAGGCATACGTCGATCTCGTTAGAGCCTGGGGTTGGAAATCATTTACAATAGTCTATGAGAACAGTGATGGCTTGGTTCGTCTTCAAGAATTGCTCAAAGCTCACGGTCCCTCGGAATTGCCTGTTGCTGTTAGACAATTGCCCGATTCACACGACTACAGGTCAGACTATAAAATCTAACTTAATTCATGTTGTGTTTTATATCGGTGATTATAAAGTTAAAAATCTTTGCAGGCCGTTGTTGAAACAAATAAAAAATTCTGCTGAGTCACATATTGTATTAGATTGCACTACAGAGAGGATCAGGGATGTTCTGCAGCAGGCTCAACAGATTGGCATGATGTCCGATTACCATAGCTACCTTATAACATCACTAGTAAGAAAACTCTATGAAACTTCAATACAAATTATGATTGTAATGCATATAGCCTTAAATGTTTAATTTTTACCATACAGGACCTTCATAGTGTAGATTTAGAGGAATTTAAATATGGTGGAACGAATATAACGGCATTAAGATTACTCGATCCCGAAAGAAGTGATGTCCAAAAAGTTATAAGGGATTGGGTTTACGATGAAGCGAGAAAAGGGCGAAAATTACAACTAGGTCATACTTCATCAAAGGTAACATAATGAGAGATATATTTACATAGGGTAACTTACTGGTTTTGTGTACATTTTATAAGTCAATATTGATACTAAATGTTTTGTTTGCAGGAGAATATGACCTTTATTAAGGTGAGAGTAATTCATATTTATCATATTTAATTAGTGTTAATTATATTGTGAGCTAATGAAGATTACACAATATTATATTTAAGCTTAATTTTTTTAACAGCTATCTAATTTTGATTACTCTTGGTATTAACCTAGCAAAAATGTTTATAAAATAATTATTATGTTATGTTTTTTGTATGTCATTACCTTATAAACATATGGTATTTCTTTAATTATTTTTGACAGACGGAAACAGCTCTCATGTATGATGCAGTACATCTTTTTGCAAAAGCTTTACACGATCTAGATACATCACAGCAAATTGATGTGAGACCTTTGTCGTGCGAAGCAGAAGACACATGGCCACATGGTTACAGTCTTATCAATTACATGAAAATTGTAAGTAAATATGAAAATCATGTAATGTAAGAAGACGTATGAGAAAATCTATTATTAGTGGACTATATTGTTAAAATTTCTTTTTGCTTGCACATACATAATGTTTATGCGCGCTAACTCAGAAACGGTATCGGTGTTTTCACTAGTATATTGTAGTAAACATAAGTTAAAATTTACTGTTTGTTTTATTTTAATTGGTTTACCAATAATAAAATTATACGGATACGAAATCAGGGCTCATTTAGTAGGTATAGTAATGAATATCAAAACAATAAAGACATTGTTTTGGATGAACAAAGCGTTCGCTGAGGAGAATTAGCAGAAGTGAGTTGATGGATTAAGAGCCGGTATTGTTGGACCAACTTAAAATCTCTCCTTATTTGTGTTTCCTATAAATCATTGAATCTTATTCTATTGGTATATATGTGCTTAATTAAACATTTTTAATACTTTACCTTATAACTAACTTACACACCTTTAATTAATATACATTAGTTGAGAGAATGAATTATATCAATTTATTGATCAAAGCTTGCTTATTTATCAACAAAGTAAACTTTAATACTCACCTTACTAATTTTGATGAACAGGTTGAAATGAAAGGCTTAACTGGAGTTATAAAGTTTGACCATCAAGGATTTCGAAGCGATTTCACTCTAGATATAATTGAACTGACAAGGGACGGTCTTCAAAAGGCAGGAACTTGGAACTCCTCCGAGGGAGTCAATTATACAAGATCATATGGGGAGAACCAAAAGCAAATAGTGGAGATACTACAAAATAAAACGCTTATTGTTACTACAATTTTGGTAAGATCGCACAAACGTTACACAAAATACTCACTGCAATTCTGCAATGATGTAATTTAGGATTTTATACATGCACATTATTATTATTAATTATGAAGTGTCTTTTGATATAAGGCAATCAATGATAGAAAGCAATATAAGGACCTACTCTTTAATATGTTTGAGTGTAAATATATGAGTCCATTATTATGTATTGAATATTAATTATATATTCTTCTATCTTACTAGCTGTCCCGGCAAACGTTGTTTTGCCTTAAAATAAAAAAAAAAATTAGGGGTGGACTACCCTTAACATTTAGGGGGATGAAAAATAAATGTTGGAGATTTTCAGACTCAATACGCTCACAAAATTTCATGAGAATCGGTCAAGCCGTTTCGGAGGAGTATGGGAACGAAAACTGTGATTTTATGTATATATAAGATTTATCTATCTTAATATATATTCATTTTCATAATATAATATTGATGTTTACCTAATTGAAAATAGTAAACGGGAATCAACAAGAAACTTTTGAAATTTTCATGAAATTTGATCTCAAAGTTTTCCCTTCTATGTTGTATATAAGGAAATCACTAAGGCCTCGATGTTTTTTATCCAATATTTATTATATAAAGTTAATCTATTAGCTTAAATCACATGCCTTTTAATTGTGAGTATCTTTAAATTTAATTCCTTAGAGTGCACCATATTGTATGAGAAAAGAGGCGAGCGAGCGGCTAACAGGGAACGCACAATTCGAGGGGTACGCCATTGATCTCATTCACGAGATATCTAAAATTCTGGGCTTCAATTACACATTCAAGTTGGCGCCTGACGGTCGATACGGTTCCTACAACCGTGAGACTAAAGAGTGGGACGGAATGATAAGAGAATTGCTGGAACAACGTGCCGATGTTGCTATCGCCGATCTTACTATTACATACGACAGGTAAACTTGTAATCAGTGTATTATGTTTAATAACACGCTACCTACATAATTGTAGCATGAGTATCATAGAAACTTTACATTTAAAAATAATATTCAGTTTCGAACTCAATTATTTAAAATAGTAGATCTATTACAGAATGGTACATTTTTAGTAATTTAAGTTTTTCTAAAAATAAACATCTGTTACTAAACTTAATTCTCAAATTTCTTTTGTCACCTATATTGTGATCGAAACCGGTATTTTTAAATGTTCTGGATACATTATAATATATATAATAATTAATCGAAGACGATTATTGATTTGTAGTAACGACATATTAAAATGTGTGTTATAATCTATATTATAAAATGGGCCTTATAATGTTAAGATATTAATTCATACTTACTACTTCTATTGATTTCACAATTTGCGGTTAACACTATTTACTCTAGTAAGAGCATTAAATCTAATTTATGTGATTCCCTAGGGAGCAAGTGGTCGACTTCACGATGCCGTTCATGAATCTCGGCATCTCAGTGCTATACCGCAAGCCCATTAAACAACCGCCGAACTTGTTCTCCTTCCTCTCACCCCTCTCTCTAGATGTCTGGATTTATATGGCTACAGCGTATTTGGGTGTCTCCGTTCTACTTTTTATACTTGCCAGGTATGTGTACACTTATTTGCATCCAAAAAATTTAGAAAAAATACAAATTACCCATTTTAGTATATATCATCTTATTGTAAAGCGGAATTTTATACATTGCCGCATTTTGGATCGCGTAGTACTACAGCCTATAAGATTAACTAATCTGTAAAATTACATAAGCATAGTTTGATGTAGATTAAATGGACATAAAAATAACCATTTTAATATGCAGACAAAGAATATATCGGAATTTATTAAAACACGGACCAGATTTTATTTAAGTACCCAGACAGGAAAAATCTATCAGTAAAATTTCAAATAAAAATCCGTCAGAATAAGAATACCTGTGTTCTCTGATAATCCCAAAAATAGAAGACGCAAGATTACAGTAACAAATATACATGCTTATAATTGCGAAATTCATCATTTAATAGGTTCACACCGTACGAATGGCACCAATCCCATTCATCAGACGGCGAGAAAATGGAAAACATTTTCTCTTTGGCCAATTGTTTGTGGTTTGCCATCGGATCTCTTATGCAACAAAGCTGTGACTTTTTGCCCAAGTAAGCCCCCCAAAAAACATCTACGTATATATAAGCAACATTAGAAACACACTCTTCGGAGTGTGTTTTTAATGTCGCTCGATTTAGTGACCTCAGCGAACTCGACGTGAAGAACTATTAGAAAAAGGTGTCCATCTTGAGTCTTTATGAATGTCAGTATCACTCGTACATTCAACTAATTTCAGTACTTTCAAGCAAAATTATATATTTGCCTAATATGTAGTTAAAACTTCTTTTAAACTTGCACTAAAAATGTTTAAAACGTGATGAAATTTAAGTAAGTACATGTCTATTCATGGTATATCAACAGCTCATTAAGATAAAATTAACAAATACCGATTTTAAATAATGCAATGTTTACATAACAAATATACACAAGACAATATCTTCTCTATCTAATTACATAGACCATGTCAAAGTGTACGTAATGAACTTGATACTCCAAAAACAATACCACTTTATACATTTACAATAATGTCAACGTTGCTAGGACAACGCGCTAAAAGCGCATTTGCCTGGCGGCGGTGGGCACCGCTTAGTCAGAATAAATACATTAACTATTGATATAGAAAAAGGAAATCACAGCAAGTCCTTGTGTATTCCTAAATATGAACTTGAACCATGGATCACATGAAATATTTCGAGATTCAATAAAATTTCATGGACATATGCAAAGGTTCGTTATGACATGTGACAGACAGTATTTGGGCGCAGGTTCAGTCCGTACGAGTGGGACAGCCCCAGGAACTGTTTAGACGAGCCGCCGGTGTTGGAGAATCAGTTCACTCTGTTGAACTCGCTGTGGTTCACTATTGGATCCTTGATGCAGCAAGGTTCGGATATCGCACCGAAGTAAGTCCCATCCCTAAAACCAACCGACGGCTACAATTCCAGTTTCCTCGGCATTAATTATTCTGCAATAAATCAACCAATCCTAAACTTTGAAGATCGACCCTAACCACTGGTCAGAATTGACTCGCTGATAACTACAGCAAGGAAATGTAGCCTTCAGTTGCAAATCTTGGATAAAGGGAGTTCCTCTTTCACTAATTAGTTTCAAAGCGACCACAGTCCTTTGTGAATTTCAAGCATCGGTAGTCGTCTAGAGCGTCCAATTTAAACAGCGACGCGTCGACAATTTCAACTGGCTTTGTTTTCCACTATAGTTCGTAAAGACTTTGTAATTTAGTTGCTAATTGAACAACTAGTTGGAATAATGTTTCTGACATTATGCACCTGATACCTCTATAGCTTGTGTAGTATCCGTAGCTTGCTGCATCAAAATTTTGACGTTAATTTAGTATGTCAGTTACAGAGATTGATATCACAAATTAAACTATTTAAATACAATAATATAAACTATTTAAAGATATCATTTGTAACGTCAATCTCTGTAGATATATTTAGACTATATTCTTAAGTTAAATATAATTAATTAAGTTATTCTATAATATAATATGACTTATGATAAGTTAAAAATTAAAGATAAAAAAACATATATCGTTATTAATATTTACTTAAAAAATTTTGTAGTTTAATAAATTTTCTGGGCATGATGATTTTATCAAGTTCTTGATTAAATATTAATATGTATACTCAAGTTTGTGAATAATAATTTTAATTTCTAATAATGTAAATATAATTTTATGAATATTAATAATATTTCATTGGTATTCTTCATCAAATAGAGCAGTATCAACCCGTATGGTAGCAGGGATGTGGTGGTTCTTCACATTAATCATGATATCATCATACACCGCCAATTTGGCAGCATTCCTGACTGTTGAACGAATGGATTCTCCCATTGAAAGCGCCGAAGACCTGGCCAAACAGACTAAGATCAAGTATGGAGCTCTAAAGGGAGGATCTACAGCTGCTTTCTTTAGGGTAAACTATAATTTTTCTCTTATACCCAATTTTTGAAGTACTTCAAAAAGAAGAAGTAATTTATCATTTCATTCGTTGCTAATTAAATATTGATTTTAATTATTATTTTAGTCGAAACGAACAAAACATTTGCCTGATGGTCATCTACCTCAAAATTGTAAAAAAATATTTTAAAATATGTAATTCATTTTGTCAGTTATTTTATCTTACTAATATTATAAAGGCGAAAGTTTTTTAGTCTGAATGGATGAGTGGATGTTTATTACCCTTTCACACAAAAACCACTAAACGGATTTTAATAAATCTTTGCTAATACCACAGATAACATAATATTACATACTAATACATACACATCAGAATAACTCATAGGCTACAAATTTAAAGCGGGTGAAATCACGGACTCATCTCGTATCTTATATACTTTTACTAGTCGATTTTTGTGATATTGAAATAGTAAAAAGACGGTAGTCACCTATTGTAGCGCATATAAGATGTCTTACCTCCATTTACATAGCAAGTATGATTTCTTATGAATATTGCTCGTAATACGTATACGTAATATTTATTTTATCTTTTATTACATTTTTGTACAAATTTTATTACAAAATTACATACACGCAAATAAATATCGAATCGAGAACTTCCTCTTTCACAGTATGTTTTCTTTCATGGATAACAAACAAAAAATAACGTAACATCAGTAATTTATTTATATAAACAATCAATGAATTATTTACTCTATTACCTCGTTTCTTCTCGTCGTTATTTTGTTTATAAATTAATATTTACATATTATTAAGACATTAATACAAAAATATGTTTGCCCAAACAGGACTCGAACTTTTCCACGTACCAACGAATGTGGTCGTTTATGGAATCGGCCCGGCCCACTGTCTTCACAAGTAGCAATAAGGAAGGGGAGGAGAGGGTGATGAGGGGCAAGGGCTCTTATGCGTACTTGATGGAGTCTACCACTATTGAGTACGTGGTCGAGAGGAATTGCGACCTAACGCAAGTGGGCGGGATGCTCGACTCGAAGGGATACGGAATAGCTATGCCACCTAGTGAGATTCTTATTTTGTATTTCTTAAATAATTGTATCCAAACTTGAGTAGATTATTTTATTTTTGTAAGTATCATATATATAATAGATAGTTTGAAATGGTATTTACTAAAATCACTAGTACTTTTAACAATACACTTACAAGAGTACAATAATTATGGTTATTCATATTTACAGACTAGTACTATAAATTCGAACAGTATCTGATAGAAAGCTATCTAACTAAAAAAGAAGACCAAATTGCTAATAATAACGGGTATACTTATATTTTATTGATGACAAGTAAATATATCACAACAATCACATAAGTAGGTATAGTCAACTTATTATTAATACTATAAATGAGAAAGAGTTTCTTAGGTTCTTTTTACCTTTTTGATAGGACGAATTCCGATTAAATACGGCAAAATAGATTGTAAATTGACCTTCTTCTATTATAAAATATATATATATACAAACGAAGTTAGTTATTATACATTTCTCAATATACTCCAAGGGTCAGACAGTAATTATGATGATTTTAGATTCGCCATATCGCACAGCCATAAGCGGAGCCGTCCTCAAGCTACAGGAGGAAGGAAAGTTGCACATCTTGAAAACTAAATGGTGGAAGGAAAAACGTGGAGGAGGATCCTGTAGAGTAAGTACAAAGTCCTTTTATCCATTAGTAATATATTTAGTAATTATGTAATAAACTATAGTAATACTAATAACTAACAATATAATAGTAATAAACTATGACCTACTATATTAAATTCTTTAATTCAATACTTCAATCTAACAACTCTTATAATACTGTTTCTATATTCACTAATATGCGTACAACCGACCCAGCAGTAAGAATTGACTTCTCGATGAATCAAACACAAAAGTAATAAAGAATTTTATTCCAAGAGTAGGTAATCGATCTGAAATCCGATGTCGAGGCAAATATCTCCCGCTATTTGTATCTTTTACAATGATCGGATAAAATGGGAAAGGCATCAACTATACAATTCAGAATGATCTTCAGATTTTTGAATAGGAGATATATACAAAATACAAGGTTCAAATACATCGTATATAAAGACAAATATAATTAAGTGAATATATTTGCAGTCATTCGTAGTACTTGTTGAATAGTATATCCATCATAGTTAAATATGAGTCAATACATTTTTATATGTATTCGTTACAATAAAGAACATAATGGTAATTGAAGTCGTGAGCTATAACGTCGCTTTGTATAATCAACATGGTAAGGGTTTTATTTAGAGCTTTCCTTCTCTTACACTGCTAGGTATATTAATGTGTTTTATTCCTCTAGTCGTTTCTAACAATATCATGGCAATTAAGAACGAAAGAAGTAGCGACACGTGTACGCATCTCATAATATTTTTTTACAATATGTTATAAAGCATACTGAAATTGACATATGTACACAGGACGAGACATCGAAATCGTCGTCGACGGCTAATGAGCTTGGCCTTGCAAACGTGGGCGGTGTATTTGTTGTGCTGATGGGTGGTATGGGAGTTGCTTGTGTTATCGCTGTTTGCGAATTCGTCTGGAAGTCTCGCAAGGTTGCTGTGGATGAACGGGTGAGCTTAGATTTAGGACACATGACCTGAACATAAATATATTTACGAGTAGAACTATAAGAGTCAAAAACAAGAGCTACACAAAAGAATTAGGTAGACTAAATAACAGCAGAAGCAGCAAATAAACATTGGTCGCTACTACAGTTGAGTAACATACACATAATATTCTATGCCGTCTCTTACATATAAACATTCATTTTCTCGAAACATTACATGAATGTTAGAAGAATAGGGATTATGTATAAACGTAGAATACCTGTAAGTTTTTTTTTTAAATTACTCAGCATTATATTTTATGAGTACAAAAATAATATAAACTAACTTTAAAAGAATAGGATTTCAAAAATATTTTACACTTTATTTATGTCTTATCTAGCTGTACTTGTGTTTTTAGAGCAGGATATATAAATCTCAATTAATTTATAAGTTATCCAGCTTTAATTCTGTGAATGTAACCCATTATGAACACACAATTACAGTTATATATTATATTCAGTTATAAATATTACTGGTTATGTGACTTAAAGGTTTTAGCATATTTATGCAACAGCTTTTCTTTTCTTGAAAATCAATCATTAATGTTAGATACGTATACAATCAAATACAGTAATAGAAAAAGTATGTAGAGTAGATCAACTAAAATCTTAAACATAGATATTACATATGTACTTATTCTCTATGTACATTCATAACCTAGACTTTTATTTAGACGTATTAACTACATCTACATGTATTCACCCTAATAAATGTTTTATAACCATGCTCGTTTTTCGTGACAATTGTTTCGACTTCATCTGGAAGTTAATTGTCGCGAAAATATATTAAGTTCTTTAAATTTCCGTTATATAATATTAGTGCAAAATTAACACAAATTATAAAGATATTAAATATACACGTCATGTCTTCGTATGACGCCCTCATATAAACGATTATCTCTGTGTCACTTTACTAAACTTTCTGTTATACAATATTTTTTTATTCTGTCATTCCTGTCATCCCACACATCTGTCTTAACATTCACATGTTGTCGTATTTTATCCGTCGCTTGCAGAAAGGAACAATAAAATAACTTCAGTAACATTCACTTCATTGTTGAAAGAAAAAATATTTTCTTCTGAAAAAATCGTATATGTAAATATGAATATTTCGTACCATTAAGAACATGAACACATGAAACTATATACATATTATTTGTTAAATCACAAACTTATATAATTTTACCATAGAATATTATAACAATAAAAATGAAAACTGCTTTTTAAGTTATTCTGTTTTTACACTTGTAAACTCCAAAGAAAATAACATTCAGTACGACATAAAAGAATTTTTCTTTTTTAATAACGTGTGATTTTTTTTTATCGATATTGAAAACAAAGTTAATCCTGGACCCTGCCGTCCGAGTCGGCTGTCGATGTCATGCTATTTATATCCAATTTTATTCGAGGCAATACGCCGATAAACGAATACAATTTTCGTATTCACACCCCCTTCGATTGTTTTCCATTAGTTTCTGATTGTTTAACAAAAATTTCATTTTGTTCTAGGTTTATTTTTAAAACATTGGTAAATATTATTCTTTTATTATGGACGTGTTCTTGTAATTGTAATTTATAGATTCAGAGCAAAGTATAAACATCACATATTCATAATCTTAGTAAAGCTAGAACAAATAATTGTGTACTATTTTATGTAGGATTCATTACACATTTATTACATATATATTATATTTAGATTTACTTGTTATTTCTGAGTATTACTCAAATGTATTGCTATATATAGTTTTGGTAGTTTTAGTATGCAAAATATTAATAGGATAATTTCTGGTATAGTATTGATGTAGTAATAAATGTTTAATTGTTTTACTGCTGCGATACAGAAGGAAGAGGTACGTTTTTTTTAATACAAATATGCAAGCATTCTTATATATTCTACCTTATGAACTTTCTCCAATCAGGCTTCACTTTGCTCGGAAATGGCATCAGAGCTACGTTCTGCACTGAAATGCCCAAGCGGCGCGGGTAGCGGAGGCAACTCGGGAGGTACGCGGGAAGGGGCCGGCTCCCCCTACCTGCACTATGGCTTTAGCACCAAGAGTCAGCTCCACTAGCGCCCAGACCCTGCCTCCTCGCCCCCCAGCGATGTGTAGGCAATATGAACATTGATTGTGTACTTCGATCATTATCACTTACAAACTAATACGTGACGTGAATTAAAAATGCTGACGAGGACTTTAATATGCAAATTTATAATGTACATAATTCATATCTTATTGAAAACAAAATGATGACGTTGTTGTGAAGTAAGGTATTTAATAGTTTAAGATATTGCGTTGTGCCAATGCGAATAAATGTTTCTAATTGTTAATCTGTAATATATTAAGTTTACGAAATACTGTAAAAAAATTAATTACTATTTAAAATATGTGACAAAATCGCAATTTAGATAACAAATACATCAGTCTTAGATTTTACTGCTCACTCACGGTCAGATCTATGACTAATTTAAAACTGAGTGTGTAAAGTAACAACGTGATATATCACCATTATTTAAATTAAATAAATAATAATTTTTACAATTGAGCCTAAATTAGTAAAACCTATTGTATATGACTATACCAATCTATTACATTGAATAATTGTCGTATAAACATTTTTAAAGTAGTAAATGTAATAATATTTAGAGTACCTATTGGTGTTTTATATATTAATTCAAATAAAATTAAAACTTTTCATGTAGCTATTAAAGTTAACGATATACGTGTAACATATTGAATGTTTAATTAAATACATTCTTTGCGAAAATAAGTATGTAAATAAAACTTCTACATGTGAATCTTTTACCGCCATTTGTATCTACGACTATAATTTAGTTGAATTAAATATAATTATTACTTATGTAAAACTGTTATATCTTTGAAATATAATGACGTTTTTATAGTTGTAATGAAAATAATTTAAATATCATTCTTTTCTGATTAACTAATTGTTAATTCATTATAGTCTTAATTCTTATTTCAGTCATTAATATAATTTAAAAGGAATATTATTGAATAACTTTAAAATTGGAAGCTCTAATTGATGGCAGCTCAAATTGTGCCAAAGATCTAACCTTATTAGGTATATTTTGTAAGTTCACCTTTCAAAGCTGAATTTAAAGAAATAAATTGTTTTAATAAAATATTTCTTTGTTTCCTTTGGTCTTGCAGTTCTCCTGCTTACTCATAATGTCCTTTTTTAAGTAACGGAAAGAAATAGGAAACTGACTTTAGATACGCGTGAATACAATTATTGAAAATATATTTATGCAATAATTATATTCTCACATATATAGATAAAGTAGCGTGCTTTGGGACAGACCTATGTCCAGCAGTGGCCTGCAATGGCCTGATGATGATGGTAATAGACAAGCTTTCGATATATTTCTTCTTATTCCGTATTAGCTATATGTATTTTTATTTGCTAGGTAGAGTTACAATTTAACATAATAGATATCTCCTTAAACAAGAACGAGAAAAAACATTTTTTATTTGTTATTTAATCTGAAACAACTCCTTTATTTCGATTTAAATAAGATAAAAATGCCTAAACATACCAGACCTCACCCTACCTCTAAACATATGATAAACCAATAAGGTAAAACATAAGTTGAGATTGTACTCTTATTTAAAAGAAATTTGGGGATAACATAAAGATAGTAATAAAATATAAATAAGGTTTGCAAGAAATAAATGAGTTAACCTTACTTCATGACTGTTTTACAACTTTTATACGACCCTCGCCTGGTGCCTATACATTATGACCAGTCGATGTTTGTATAGGTTAGGAGTCATAAAAGCTAACACCTATCAAAGCACCTGTACGTTGTCAGAATTTAAATTCATTTTCTACTTGATTATTATATTACATAAAACAGAAAGCAAACAATGGTTAAAAACATATTCAAATTTATGTAAATTGATCTTTTATGTTTAGCTTCACTCGGCTCAAATAGGTGTGAAAAGCGGTTTCGAGTCCCTTCAAATAGTGCTGTTGGAAGTTTAACACAAAAGTAGAAAAACAGATATAACATAGGTATTATTTAAAGTAGCACACAAGTTTATGGAGCATCAGAGTTTATATCATTTTAATATGATGGTAACTAGCACCCGTCACCTATATTAAGAACACCATGTACATCTCGTTATTATGTAATGTTGGTATCATGCATTTCTATTGCAGATGACTAAAATATTATGCTTTTTAACCTGTAATTTCTCTGCTATATGTCGTCCCCCGTGCTTTACAGCTGGTTGAAATCGTGATATAGAGGTACCCAAGCAGACGCTCTTCTACAAAGCTTAGCTCTGGTAAATTTATTAGTATCATTATTATTTAAAAGAAATTTCATTCTTCCGTAGGCAAACGATACAAAAGTATATTAACCGTAACAGCAAGAGAAAAGCATTTTCATTTGAATCCTATCTCAATGTCATAGGGCTGTTCACTGTTAAACATTGTTGGTAACCGTACCGCAGATTACTGGTACATTCCACACTGTCTCGTAAACACAACTCAGTACCAACTAGTTAGAAGATGGTATATTTTTTTTAAGTTACTATTTATTTTACCGAAATAAGCTTATATTTATTAACAGAATACATAGGAGTATATAAATATAATTAAAATATGAATCCTTTACTTTATCACAATTATATTTTACTATCTGTTACACGCGAATTAGTCAGGTTTTTTTAGATAAAATGTATGTCCGTTCGCGTGGTAAATTTGTTGGTAATTTTCTTTACACCGAAATGTATTAACTTTCGTTCAGTTGTTAAAAGGTAATAAACAGACAGACAGCACACTTTGACATTTATAATATTAGTTGAATATTATAAGTAATTTATATAGTAGATATGCACTAAAATTTTTACCCGAAAATCGTTCTTTCGTCTATCTATTGGACATTAACTCATGTCACATTGACAATGACTAAATTTTAACTGAATCCAATTACAGCATTACGAGATATATACTCATATAAGAAGGTTAACAGACGAGTGAAAATCGTCGAGCCAAACCTCAATTCGAACGATAACCCAATGGAAACGGGTTTTCCGGTTTCCGGTTAAACGTAAACAGCGAGGGTTCTGAAACGAAATCCGGCGATAATAACATGAGAGCAGACACGGGTTTACGCTTCGGAGCACCTGCTACGGTGGCTACGAATAACGCTACGCAATTCGCGTTTTATAGCTTATGTTTTTATTAGCTCCACTTTTCTATTTATATGAAATTGGATTTTTTATTGTTTTACGTTTCTAGTGATAAGAATAAAATTGAGTAGTTGTTACATTTTATTATAGGTAAGTAGGTATCTACTGTAGTACCCTTTTCTATAATGTCCTAATATATTAGGCAAAAAATTCAATTTATATTATCTGCAGCATTTAACATAAAATAGAAAATATTAATTTAATGAGTAATATGACATACCGTGACTACTGTTATTCGGCAACGACAACCATACAGGTCTTACGAGTCCACGTCATAGCCAACGCAACACTTGACATTCCAGGGTTTCGTTGGGTATATTCTTCTTACCGGTATTTCCATCACGGAAGTATTGTCAGAAATAAAATTTACTCCTTTTTTTCACGTCGGCTAGAATTGAGCTCTCGATCTTTCTAGTGGAATTCCGGGTAGTAAAACACCAGGTAATGATCTTTTAATGAGTAAGGGTATATTGGAAACTAATTTGAAATTCGTTTGTATTTATAAGGAAAAGTATACTAAAAACAAACTGTATTTTGTACAGATGCGAAATATTTTACAAAGTTTATAACAATTGGATTAATAATGACCTTCGTAAATTAACCAGTGGAGTAAAACATTTGTTTTTTTTGCTAACTAACGATTATTGCTATTTTCTTTAATCTTTTTATAGTTGGAAATAAACATCATTACCTTGAATTGTATCTAATTAGTAACTACAGTAAAGGTTTCCTGTATCAATATTTCTCGTTAATTGAGGAAATTGAAAGCCAATTGCCATATGCGTAATAGTCACGTACGAGGCTAGGCGGGAAAGTAAAGTGGGGTCGGAGGCCACAATGGGCCATTGGGAGGGATATAGCAATATTCATGATCCATTCGTTGACAACGATATGCCCACAACGACTGTATCCGTACTAATATACAAACCTTCTATAGCACTTTGTAAAATTTCTGAAAGACTAACATTAAACTTACATGTAAACGTTCACGACTCTGGACTAAACCATATATATAGAAGGTATTATCAAATGTTCTGAGTGCAGTGTTTTTCAAGAAAGACATTATTCCGTATTCCGTATACTTCCTTAGTAGGTATAAGCAGATTGTATCACTTGTTAATACTGGCCATCAATAAAAACATGTGGCCACTTAAATTTCGAATATAGAAGAAAAATTATATTGTAAATGAGAACTGTAAGATATGCTACGCTCCATATTTATTCTCTTTAAAATAAGAAAATTACTGATATAGTTGATTTAATATAATTGTTGTTATTAAAATATACTCGCTAGAGTGCGTAGCCACTAAAATGTACTACACATCGGGACGTTTCTAAGTAAAGGGGAGTTAATTTGATGTTACTTTGCATACTTTGGGGTGTTCGGAGTGTGGAAGACCTTCTTCGTAGGAGAAATCGTCACTCGCCTTCCTTTTTCCATTTTTTTCTAATAAACAATTCAGTTCATTAAGTTTTATTTCTTCTTTATACAGATTTGTAATCCAACAGGCATGTTAATGTCTTGTCTTACCTAATATTTCAGACGTCTCTAGACTATAGTAACCATTTACAGCACTCGGATTTCTTGTTATTTATCGTTCTTTCTATCACCGTATATTGAGTGCGAAATATAAATCAATACAAAGTTTTTGGAGCTGACCACATTCGACCTCGTGACCTTTTGGCATAACTACCAAATCAAGACTGAATACAACTTATATCTTTATATTTATAAATATCATACTGAGCATATAATAGTAGTTAAATTGTATGACAATGACGCAAATATTGTATTTTTGTGCCGTGTGCGTTGTTTGAATCACAGCGCACGCAACGAAGGATTCAACACGTTATATTAATATTTGTGGCACCCGAGGCAAAAATATTTATATAGTACCATTCTGAATAATATTCTCTCATACTATTGATGTGTTGAGAGACTTGTACTGCGCCTAAATATAGTAACTTTCAAAAATATGCCCGCCTGTTTTGTGCGTGCTCTATTTAATTAAGAAACTTCTAATTTAAATATTTTTTGACAAGTATCAAGTGTAATAAAAAGTTAATTTAAATCGATATCTGATGTTCATTTAATTTAAAAGTGTTCTTTTATGAGTTTTAACCAGGTAAATACAGAATACTTAATGTACTACCAAGTTATGAGATTATTTAGTGCCTCCCACGATCTTATTTCGTACCTTACCTACCTAGAAAGATTAACCAAAACACATAACCATAATATGAATAGGTACGTAAACGTACATAAACCATTAATTAACGCGCCACTCAGTCTCGTATCTATCTTGTGGTTTGATGGCGATTCGACGACTAGAATATTCTATATCTAATTTGAAATATGTATGCATATGGTCTATAGTGAATATTGTTCAATTGGTTATTAATGAACATTCATAACATAATATGATTCCTTAATGCATAATAATATTATTATTTTAATTAAAAATTCAGTTTTTGTATGTTTGCTTCGGAAAAATCACTGATATAGAAAGCATAGGGCACGTTCAAAATAAAAAGTGTGAAACATAATTACTTTCTGTCTGTTTCGAATATACTGTTGTGTTTCAAAGATATTAATTTAGTTATTACCTATAGTCATGACAGTGCACTACTTTGTGAATTCAGTGAATTCAGTTTAAAGTGCTGATCAAGAACCAAAAAGGAAATCTAGTGAAATTAGAAGTATTCACTACTTCCAAGTGGATCACGTTAATTTGTGGCATAGTATTTCAGTTTGTGGTTTAAATGAAGTTTTTATGAGGTCTTTTCAACTTTTTTCAGTTTTTTTTTAGTGAAAATGCTTCAGCTGTGTGAGTATTCTAACTGGCATACTCTGACATACTCTTAACAAC